AAGCGAGCCGTCACTCAAACGGGCCGAAGGCCCGTTTTCGGATAGAAGATGTATTACACCATAAAAATTCAGAAGGGACGGGCCCCGCCCCGCCGGCAGGCCAAGCTGGGCCCGCTCCCTGCCGAACCGAGTTGCCGGTGGAGCGAAGCGGAGCTGGTAACTTCGTTGGGCGGAAGGGCGGGCCTGCTTGTTACAAACAGGACACCGGTTAATCGGTGACAGCCAAAATACCGGTTAAAACCGAAAAACTGGTTCACCGGAACAACCTAAATTGATGTTAGCTTGTGGATCCAATAACACACCTATGAAAGGATATATAAGACTAGACCCAAAAGAAGTTAAATATACTTCCAGGCATATAGGGTTGTTACAGTGAACGTGAACCGGATTTTCGGTTTTGACCGGTGTTTTGGCTGTCACCGATTAACCGGTGTCCTGTTTGTAAAAACCGGTTAACCGAAATCCGGTTTTTCACCGAAAATGCGGCGATTACCGAATGACCGGTTGAACGGTTTTAAGGTAGAACCCTAGTGAAAAAAATACCGAAAATCGCAAAAACGTCGAAATAGTAAGGCTAAAAACAGTCTAGAGGCTCGTAGACCAAAAACTTGACCTTGAAGTTGTAGAACAGAGCTCTCTGATAAAAACAAGATGTGAACGAAATTTTTCCGTCAAAATTTGAGACACCTGGAACTTTTTCCGTAGAGGCCTGACACCTGCCCAGCGCGTCAGCCGGCGAGCCGAGCCCAGATGTGTCTGTATGCCTGCCAGCGGCGCGCGGACGACGGACCCGCACCGAGGGGTCGTCAACTCCCTTCGGCCGTGTACGGAGGAATATATATTACAAGTAATATGTGTAATATCGGTAATATTGATGTAATATTGTGTAATGTCAGTATTATCAAGTAATATCAAGTAATATTATGTAATATCATGTACTATCAAGTAATATTACGTAATATCAAGTAATATTAAGTAATATATCAAGTAATACACTGCCGCTCGAATTAGGGGCGCACTATTTTGAGCCGGCGTATTTTCCAAGTGTTTTGAGCTAGAATGTCGAGATTTGGCCTGTAGACGTCTCATTGGTTCGTCTTGGATCCCACGAAGTGCGCATCCCTTGCGCCACCCCATACGGCCTGTGCAGCCCCTAGAGTAAGGAGGGGTAGAAAATTTGACCTAAAAGGTTCCGAATTTGTCACTTAAAATGATCGGAAGGTCGAAATTTTTGGTTTACCGACTCAAATTTGTGTCCTCTTTCGAACGGCGCTAGCGAAATCGCGGTCGTTCAAACCCACCCCCTGCCCTGTTTACCCCCACCCCCATGAAGGGACGAGTTTTGAGGATGGTCAAAACTACCGTGATATTCTCCGGGGACACCCCCTGTACACGGAACATGTGTTTTTTTTTTTTTTTCGAATTGGACAAACCCCGGCCAAACAACCCCCACGAACGTGCAACCCCTTTTCGAATACCGGCCATTTTGGAACCTAAGGGTTGAAGTTGTGGCATGAAACTTTTAGGAATTATTCCTTTTGCCATTTGGAACACATCCATGCCGAGAAACCCGGTGTCAACATCTTCAACCCCTCCCCAGGGGGTAGCTACCCCCGAGTGACTGTGCACCCCTTTGGGAGGGGATGGAGAGCTGGGTCTATGCGAATCTGTTAAAGAACACCCCAAGGAAGCTTCCCTCAAATTTTTATGTCGATCCGACCAACCATTTTGCGTACAAACTCGATAAAGTGGAATATCGTTCAAAAACTACCCCAAGTTCAACTTGCCCTGTCGCCGAACTGAGAAGGGGTAGTGACCCCACCCAAAGCGTCCCTCCTCGGCCCAATCTTCAACTCGAAGGACGCAGCAGAGTCTTGGGTCCCTGCGGTGACGTTCGCAATGCGGAGCGCTGTTGCCATCAAGTCGTCATGGCTGACTAGTGCAGTATCGCAGGTGGTTCCGGCAACTGGCGGTCTTTTTAAAAAGCCATTATGATGACTGTAGAAGGCCTACGATTCACCACGCACAGTTTCTAAATATTAACAGAAATGTTTGACCCTTCCCCTTCCGCGGCACCACCAGAAACAATTCTGAAGTGTGCTAAGTTGCTCGGTATGTACAATTGATGTGAAGTAATATCGAGTAATATCAAGTAATATCGAGTAATATCAAGTAATATCGGGTAATGTTGTGTAATATCGGGTAATATTGTGGAATATCGGGTAATATTGTGGAATATCGGGTAATATTGTGGAATATCGGGTAATATTGTGGAATATCAAGTAATATGTGTAATATTAGAGTAATATTAGAGTAATATCAGTCCGTGTACGAAGGAATATCGGAGTTGACGACCCCTCGACCCGCACGCTGTACCCGGACGGGACCGCATTACAGCTCGGCCCAAACGGTTGGAGATGAGCGAAAACGGAAAATGCAGTTCTTCCTTTCTAGATACAAAGTATTATACAAAGTCTTCTAGCTCAAACCGTTTTCGAGTTATTGTTCGTCCAGACAAACAGGCAAACGAACAGACCCGAAACTTTTTGATCATCACTGGAGTAATAGGCTTCGCTAATCGCTGAGCCAACTAATCGGAGCGGGTTCAAAAGGGACTTGTCACAGGACTTGTCCAATAAATATGCGCTTCGCAATTTTTCCCCCATTTATTGAATTATTGCCTTGCAAGTTACATGCGTTAAGCTGGTTGCTGACCGAAGCAGTAAATGGTCTCGAGGATGGTCACGCCGACACTTTCCACGAGGGTGGCTCCAACACACGGAAAGTAATAAGGCCATGGAACTTCTTCGGTGCACGACATGAAGGAGTACCACACTCCTCTCAATGCGCTCAGAGGAATATTAATCAGACAGCGTGCGATTCCAAAAGGGTTGATAAGAGCTGAAAAGAAACCAAACGTTCATGTTTAAGTCCCAACGAGAACGTCACCGGATTATCACGACGTACTGAAAGCAATCGAGTTGCGTACAATTTTTTTTTCGCGAGAATATGTATTCAGTGATGTTCCGGTAACATCTGAATGAAAACGTCTCCATTACTGGTCTACACCACTGTTAAAAAAACTGTAGCCAATTACAGTGAGCATACAGTTTAAACCGTATTTTATTTTACGGTCAGACTATATTTTATTTAATGATCAGGGACTGTATTTAATTTTACAGGTATGGACTGTAGTTCAGAATACACTCCGGCCTGTATTTTAATTTCCGGTCCAGACTGTAAAATAACAAGCTGGGCCCGCTCTTCCGCCAAACCAAGTTGCCAGCTCCGCTTCGCTCCACCGGCAACTCGGTTCGGCAGGGAGCGGGCCCAGCTTGGCCTGCCGGCGGCGTTTGGGACGGGCCTTCGGCCTTCTGAATTTTTATGGTGTAATACATCTTCTATCCGAAAACGGGCCTTCGGCCCGTTTGAGTGACGGCTCGCTTCGAACCATCTTTTTGCCAGGTACCTTTTCTGTCTACTTCGTAAGTAAAACCCAACAAACGAAGTATTCTTTTCATACGCTGAACATCTTTGGCTGTGTGTGCCGCAGTTTGTAGAATACATGCAAGTTATGCCGAAATTTTAAGTTATTGATGTTAGCTTATGATTCCAATAACACACCTATGAAAATGTACATAAGACTAGACCTAGAAGTTAAGTATACTTCCAGGCATACTCTGAATGACACCGAACGTGTTCAAACAACAAAAAACTAAATGTGTTTTTTTTTGTTTTGTTTTTGCATTAAAGTGTACACGTTTTATTAATGATGTGCCACCATAAAATAAGCCCACTCTTCTGCTTAGAAGAAAATTTTGAACCGGCCGCATACTTCTCAGACAGATGTGTACTTTTAAAAAAATAAAAATATTTCTGTTTTCGCCATTTTGGTGAGAGAAACTCCCTCTATCGCCTAAACGGTGAGAGATAGAGCCAAACGGACGAAATTTTAACCCATAGGACTCTATTTTAGCAAGTTACCCCCTAGGAAACCATCAAATATTTTCTAAGCTTAATTTATTGTTTTGGGGCCACTTTTGTCAGAAAAACTCCCTCTAGCGCCTAAACGGTGAGAGATAGAGCCAAACGGACGAAATTTTAGCCCAAAGGGCTCTACTTTCACGAGTTACCCCTTAGGTGACAATAAAAAAAATATTTTTTTTCCACTTCTTGGACCAACCCCTATTTCTTTGTTACCCCCTCAGACCCACTCAGGGGTGGTTGCCAGGATTTGCACCAACCGTTTCGTTGTCCAGAAGTGACAACAATAATACCCTGAAAATTTCAGATCTCTAGCTCACGTCCTTCTTGGGGAACGGACAGACGGACAGACAGACAGACAGACAGACAGACAGACAGACAGACACAGAGGCGATGGCATAAGCCCGCTTATATAGCTTTTAAGCAAAAGAGCGGGCTAAAAACCGTAAAAGGTCGTTATAGAGGACCATAGTGAGACAAAATCTAAAAAAAACACATTTGACATTTCCACCCACAGTCCGACTAGTCTTTAGTTTTAAAGTCCAGAAAGAAACAGGTCAGACTGTAGATTTGAATACAGTATGACCGTATTCTATAATACAGTGCAGACTTTAACAGGTGGTAACAGGTCGGACTGTAAAATTAAAAACAGTCCGACTATTAAATTAAATACAGTCAGGACCATGTTAAAATTGATTGGCCGTTCTGTAGAAGTTACTGTAGATTTTTTTAACAGTGACTTTAAATGAAAAGGGACAATTACTGTTCCTACTAAGGGGACGCTTGTGTACACATCAAGAAACGACGCAATTTTGTTCCAAAATTGGACAAATTGTGTAAATCTTCACGACATCAGGCAACGTACGTATGGGTGGCCAACCCATGGTTCTACTAGGGTATCCTGGGAAGGTTGGGCGCCACAATGCGGAGGCGAACTGGCGCTGGCCGATCTTACGGCTTCTGCATCCGTGTGTCGTGCGTGTGCTGTTTACCGCTGTCGCATACTAGTTAGCGACGCCATCTTGATTGCATTATTACTGCAGTAGACAGACGAGCGGATCTAGAAGCCACAAGCGGAGATTCAACCGGCACTATCCTCGCCTCTCGTTTCTGTCGTTTTTCTTGTCCGAAATAAACTATTGTCAGGGGAATGACAATTCTGGAATGCTGTTGGTCCGAGGCAAATGCTTATTCGTCGACTTAAACTAGCTTTACGTACGCGAGACCACATCTCGTGCTTCGCAGTATCTCACGAAACACGATTGCGCGCCTTGCATTCGTACTCTGTAAACCCAAGTGTGTACATGTACGTGTTATTTGCTGAATACCTACATATATGCAGCAAATACTGCGTACATGATGATATTCATGTTTGCAGCAAAGAAGGTGTACATTATCATGTATGCCTCAAAAAGTGTGCACATGGCCATATACACATGGAGAGCAATATGCCAAAAGCTATGTGCCGAAGTGTGTACCTGGCCATATTCACACTATTTGCTGCATACATAATCATGTACACACTTTGTGCTGCATACATGATCATATACGCGGTATTCAGGAAATAACGCATATATGTACAGACTTATGTTTCCAGAGTAGTTGTTGATACTTCCGCATACGTGTACTACAAACTAGTTTCTCTCTTTTTGGAATACATCCAGGTTTTTTTTACATTAACTTACCCGTTTCTTCAGGAGCTAAAAGCTCCTTCTGTTCGGGAGCATCGATTAGTCCCTGGAAAGATTAGTAAAAACAATTTAGAAGGGTAAATTTGCCGATCTGAATTAGAATTCATATTCCGTGATGCAAAATATTTAGTACAATCTGAACAAAAATAAACAACTGTAAATCAGCAAGTCTTATTATAGAGCTTCAATTTGACCTTTGTTGATTGTCAGTACAAAAGTATGTACCAACATATCGAAATGGAATCTTTACTTGAAAAACCTAAATATTTTAAATCTCACAAAACCTGAGCTAATCGCTGTAAAAGTGTTCCATATCTGAACAAACCTTTAGATGAACAGAGATAGTGAGGCAAACTAAGACAAAGAAAACCGCATTTTTATCCAAAAAAAATTTGGTTTCAGTTTGGCAGCAACCAGGGTGTGATAACTTTAACGATTGAATATCCGTTAATTTTTACCTGCACTTCAAGTACTACAGCTGCCAAGACCACGAATGCTAACCCACAGAACTTCATGGTAGGAATACGAAATAGTCCACACCGGTGGACGACTCAAACACTAATGCCAACTAAGAAATGGCTTTTCTGTGATTCAACCTTTTGTCTGTCACACTTTACTCCACTCCACATAGTAGTTCGTGGCAATACAGAGATATCATTGAGTACCCCAGTTGCAACAGGCGATAACAAAAGTTAGCCTCTGTAAATAATCAAATTAATTGGGATGTCAAATCCATGTGAATGACATTTCCCGACTTAAACAAAACAGAAACAAATGAGCGGCGGTGTGAACTAAAGTTGACTTGTTTTTACTTATTACTTGACTAAACTACCAAAATAACTGTGAGAGGTCGCCTCAAAGGTGGGAAAACAAACCCGAAAGAGATAAGAGGGTGCCCACGCTGGCACTTCCCAACAGTTATCGTCAGCTATTATCTGCTCAAAATTGTCGCCGCAATTAAGGAGTTTTTTCGCAGATAAGCAACAAGCGTCGCCGATTAAAAAAATGGACCGCCTGAGCACTGACGCTGCGACAGTGAGCACTGTTACAAAGATCATCATGATTTTACGAAATTTTCTTGCCTAATTTTCTATTGCAATAAAACTTTGGCCTAACCAAACTTCGAAAAATAGTCATTTTACGAATTATTGCTTTGCAGAATCCAGAACTTTCAAGACAAAGTGTGCAAGAGAAAATTTTGTCATACATTGTATGAACCGAGAATACCTGATCACGAGGGGTCCGCAACTAGGTTCGAGCGCGTACACTGGCCGCCCGGAAAACTGGGAAGACCGGGAAGACCACCAGGAGGACTAAAGAAAACCGAAAAAGACCAAGAAAATCGTAGGCCACAAATGTGACGGAAGACCGAAAAATATAAGGGAAGACCGGAAATTTTTTAGGAAAGACCTAGAAATTTCAAGGAAGACCAGAAAATGTAAGGGAAGACCGATGAAAGTGCGAGAAAACCGCAAAAAACTGGAGGAAGCCTTTAGAAAATCTCAGAAAACCAAGATATTGGGAAGACCAAGAAAAAGTTGGGAAAATCGGAAAAACCTTAGGAAAACCTAGGAAAACTAGGAAGCCCACCACATGTGTACACCGGCAGACCGTACTTGCGGACCCCTCGCCTGATCATTGCGAAATATATTTGTAACTTTACTTTTTAAAGTTTCTTTGATTGACATTTTTTCGTAAACAAGTACTTACAATTTTGTAACATATTTTTCGGCACGAAACCTCTCTGGTCTGCCTTTAAAAAAAATGGGGGGGGGGGAGGAAAACGCGGAAATGGATGGGGGGACACCTACTGCTCACAATGTGGAAGAAATGCATACAATGTGTATTTTCCCCTACATTAAATATCTGAACAGTTCTAGTACCTCCTCATCTTATTTCTTATTTTTTTAGTTTGTTTACTTGCTTTGTTCACACTTGTGTTTACATTGGGCTTCACACTTGCGACTGTAGGCAACGACTTTCTTCATAGCGTCCTTCAAAGAGTTAAACTAGGTTGATGTACGCCAAACCACGTCTCGCGTAACAGGCTCCGCGATATCTCACGAAACCCTGTTGACGCGCCCGGCAAACATCTACCTAGGCCTGCGGCGCATACACCCCAGTTGGGCAAAGGGTGGAGTCGTAAATAGGCATTCGGCCCCAAAAGTTACAAATTTTACTCCTCGCGATTTTATTTTGACGATTGCAGACCATCAAATATCTGAGAAAAAACATTGACATGTTTTGGGGTCATTTCAGTGTGGAAATCGCCCCCGACGCCTAAACGGTTAGAGATGGAGCAAAACGGACGCAATGGGGATGGCGACTGAAACTTTCAGCAACCAGGATCGCTAGAAGCACTGGTCCCCTAGCGCGCCGCCGGCCGGGCGGAGCGTGTGTGAGCATAAACTAAAATTGCATTCTTGGGTACTTAACTCAAACAAAGTACATCGACCATTACATCAAAACAAAGGTGAAAGTGTAAGGATTACAACGGTATAGTTCCTTATGTGATTGAAGACCTTGTACTCGATCAGGGCCGTTTGGCAAAATGGGCTGTTTTCCGAGATCACAAGAGCTTTTTCAACCCGTATTTTCTCATTCAAGGAGACGAGCTATCAACCTACATAAAGCGAGCCGATTTTCCGCCTGACTTTAAACTTTACATTCCTTTTTGCCGCACTTTGATACGACTTCTGGTTTTCGAGAACGAAGCTCACATCTACGGACATGTCGGGCCGGCCGCGCGGCCCGGGCGGGCGCGACCCATAGCGGCCCATAGCGGGCCATAGCGTCCAGCCGCAGACGGCCCCCAAAAGGAGTTTTTGTCTCTTTGTTTTTGTTTTTTTAAACTCGTCAATTTTAGAGCCAAAATCAATACAGTTCTTGCTTTTTATGCTACAAAGCTACACTTACAATTTCAGGTACCTAGCTCAAACCGTTCTCGAGTTTTTAGCCCGCCCTTCTGCTTTTAAAAAAGCATCAAAGCGGGCTTATGCAACCGCTCTCATGTCCGTCCGTCCGTCCGTCCGTCCGTCGTCCGTGTACAAGGAAGGAGATGAGCTAGAGGTCTAAAAATTTCAGTGTATCTTAGGGGTCACTCCTGGACAACGAAACGCTTGGCCAAATCCTGGCAACCACCCCTAAGGGGGTGAAAGGGGCTAACAAATAAGTAGGGGTTGGTCCAAAAAGTAGAAAAAAAATATTTTGTTATGGTCTTTGAAGGGGTAACTCGGAAAAGTAGACCCCTCTGAACGAAAATTTTGTCCGTCTGACTCTATCTTGCACCGTTTGAGTGCTAGGGAGCATTTTCCGATGAAAATACGGAGAAATTGGCCACGTTGCACATAAAGACGTACAAGGAGGCGTCCAATCGTAAAATCTCAGAGGAAGTACCCCCAATAACAACACGGGTCCTGGTCCTACCCTCGGATTTGCCGTATCTTTTTCTGTGTCGGCCCTAGAGGTAGATATATTAAAAACAATGGGAAAAAGTAAAGTTTTAAGACTGATTGACAAACAATACACAATCTAAAAACTGCGCTGGTTCATTTTTTTTTTTGTATTTTTGTTAAGCCAAGCAGAAGGGTGGGTGTAGTCACGGTGTTGCCCCGTTGAAGACTTTTGTCATGTTAAAGGAGCCAATCTCTAGGGCCGCAGGTCCCCCGTCGGAAGTTAGTTTACTCAAATATGCAAGTGATGTGCCGGTCACATTATTTATTTGATTATGTTCTGTAGGATATCACGAGACTAAAATGGTCGGGCCGAAGGCCTGATCATCGCTGCCGGCAGGCCAAGCAGGCTTGGCCCCTGCCGAACGGAGTTGCCGGCGCAGCGAAGTAGAGCTGGCAACTGCGTTTGGCGGAAGGGCGGGCCTGCTTGTTGTGATTACAGACAAACAGACACACAGACACGAAACTTTTTGTTTATCACCGGAGTAATAGGCTTCGCTATCGCTCAGCCA